GCCGGCTCCAACCCACCCACCTGGCTGGGGCTGGCAGCCAGCCGGGGGCAGCCCACCGCACCCGCCCAGCCCACACTGGATAGAAAGCTCTGTGGCCCGTTTCGGATACTGGAAGAAAATCCAGTTCAGTCCTGTAGATTACCTGAAAAAGGAGATTTTTGTCCTATTTCAGATACTGGTTTTGTGATTCTGCCCTGCTTTACATTTCAGCTTGGAGACCAGATAGATAAATGGCAAGGAAAAAGATGTTCACTCAACAGAAAGATTTTCTGGGTAGGTAGAGAAACCATCTTGCTTGACAGGGGCGATAAACTTAAGTCTCAAATTCCCCAACCCTCATTTCAAAAAGTCTTTTAATGAGGAACTGGGAAAGGCAGCATTGTACCGTGGACAGAAACGTTACCCCTTCCAAAAGTTAGAACACCACAGCAAGACATGCTCCCAGAGAACAGAGCAGCTAAGAAAATCTGCATCCAAACACAAGGAGTCTTGCTGCGTCCATTGATGCTGTCAGAAGGATTTTTCTCATTTCTTCTTGATCCTGTTGGAAAAGTAAATGCCATCTTCTGTTCTGGCTAGACTTCTGATCATCCACAGAGAGAAAAACTAGATCTGTATGATGAAAGTCCTGGTACATTCTTAATCAAAACTTCAGCTGGTAACTTCTTCCATGTACCTAATTAACAAGTTAATAATTTCTAAAGTCCAAACAATGTCACTCCTGGGGAAGCAAAGACCAGAAATTCCTTTGGGCATCTACACACCTCTCTACCAAGACAAAGGATGCTAATCTGGCACTATGCAGAACAACCCATTCCTTTTAAGCCACTTAATAAACCTCAGAGCTTGTCCTCCTCAGCTTTCCGTATGGTCATAAATATTTTCTGAACCAATAAATCTCAATCCTTCTAAGTAGTTCTCAGTGGGTATGTCTGTTGGGCAGGTTTCATCTGACCACTTTTCACCCAGGCTACTCAGTCACAGCTTAAACACAAGTGTGTGAGTCGTCCTACTGATGACTCACCGACTCAAGTCAATGGGACCATTTGCATGCTTAAGCCTAAAACAGATTCTGTGCTCTGCTAATTCAGGTCTCAAAAAGGGAGCTTCCTCTGTACAAAAAGGAATGTAGAAAAGGGAAAAAAAAAAAAGCTTTGGGTGTTTTGTGACTGCCAGATGGATTTAGAAAATGAATAAACAAATTCCATGTTACTGTACAATGGGAGAAAGGACATCAACAGAGATAGACGAAATAGCCTATCTTACTGATGAGAGAAGAAAAAGCAGGATTCCCAGGCCAGTTTTACCTAGGTAAACAACATGGAGGGGAGAAACATGGGGAGGGGTAAGTTCAAGGCTTTCTTTCTTTCTAGTCTGCCATAATTTTGCATAAGACCTGAATCTACGTTATTTCAGGAAAAACTTTAGATTTTGATGAGCAAGGCACTTTCACCCTTTCTCTGATTAGGAAAGATGGAGTTTCCACATGGCTGTTCTCATGGTTTGAGAAAATCAGCACACTGCTACCTTTCCTGATGAAGTCAGCAAAAATCCCATTAGCAGAGGAGGTGAGAAAGATAGTACTTGGCAACCTGTTCTATGATGTATTCTTTTTAATGTTAAACTTTGCTGAATCCATTGTGTATAAGCAAATTCCAGATGGCCGCTAAAAGAAAAACCCCAAAAGGTTGTTTTCATGCTTCAGTATTGAAGTGGAAAGGAGACTTAACTGCAGAACCCATGCTGATGGTGCTACTTGGCTTAGTGAGGCAAAAAGAAGTCTATGTTAACCAACCTGGGTGCAGTAAAAAATAAGCAGGTAATAGGAAAACCCCCTTATTTTAGCTTGAATTTTTGCAAAGGATAAAGAAAATACTCATTCCTACCACAAGAAACTTCTTCATTCCCGTTCTGTCATTTCCTTTTATATGTCTCTTTTATTGGCCTGCATTTCATGACAGTCATTACCACAGCACATAAGCTCCTGCCTATATACTACTGGTGACATGCAATCTTACGAAGATTGAGTACTACATAAAAAACACAAGGCCGTATCACTAGAAGACTGTAAGCATCTCTATGAGCTCACCAGTTGTTGCGTAGACTGTGTATTTTACAGAGGCAATTACATTTCCATTTTCTTGAGTTTCACACTGGAAAGTAACTGAATGGGTATCTCTGCAAGCTTCCATAATAGCTGAATCATTGGGCAGGATGTGTACTGTCTAGCCACATTGAAAAGAAAAGAAAAAAAAAAAAAGGGTTTGCATTTTTTCAAATAGATCTGCAAAGATGAGTTGCATTGTGTCAGACGCACACAAAAGTGCTTATTCTACTCAAACAGTTTTCAACCTGTCAGGACCTCTTGCCCCCTGGGAAAATTCCTCCCATCTTTTCAGCATCTCCTACTTGAACAACTGGGAAGGCAACGTCGTTGTGACTTGCTGACATATATGCACTCACCAGCCACTATGCCCCATCTTTCTGAAATAACAGTAAACACTACTCCCTAAAATTATTGTTTCCCTCACATAAACAGGAAATTGAAGCTGCATAAAGGAGCAAAGCCATGCAAGTCCTTGTATTACCAACATGCCAGTGAGAAATCAGGGCTTATTTGCATTATGACAGCAAAGGAAATAATCTGCCCAGAAGTCTGTACAATTCAGATGGAGCATGTGGTAAATACATGCAGTATGCAATTCTTCTGCACAATGTGTGGTTCAATTACTCACCTTGTTTAGAAAGAACATTTTCCAAACATATTTAAATCGATTTTCAGGAGGTATATAAATACAAGGCATCTTCACGCAGGCAAGGCCCTCAGAAATTGGTATTCCCCCTATAGGAGGAATTTTTAATAGGTACATCATCAACTATATGAAACATCTCTGTATAGATCATAAAGTTCATAATTCTTCAAACCACAGAATGTTAATTGGAAATTATCCTTTCCCTTAAAATTACTTCAAATACTTTTTGCTTGGTCTAATGTCTGGAATGAAGCACATAGCAGAAAAACGGTATTTTACAGGGACTTGAAATCAAGCGCACATCAGCACAGAAATGAGATCTGAAACATTACTGGATTGCTTAACAGGGTAATTGGAGGGTGGAATGCAATCGCGTCATTCCACTTCCACCACAGTAATAGAGAATAAGGATGTTTCCTTCGAATCAACTTATTTGCTCTAGATTACTGTATCACAGTGTTCCACTTAC